AATTTAATAAAATATCAAAACGCGGCTGTTGTTCTGCTCCGGGACAGTTAATTGTTGGGATTAGTATTGCAATTGGGCTACTACTTAGAACTTCTGGGAGAATTGCTCCAAGAAGCATTTTAGTGGTCAAAAGTGGTATCTCTACCAGTGCCTATGTAATTGACGTAGATTATATCACAGAGCTCAAAGTGTTACTATTCAACTATCAAGATATGGATTGTCTCAACAAAACAGGCAATCAAATCACCTAGTTGGTGGTGGAAAAAATTAACACTGCCCATATAATAGAAATAGACAACCTAGAAGATACTGAAATAGGAGTGTGGGGATTCAGCAGCACAGACATAGCAACAAGGGCTATTACTATCCAGGAATTAGAACTGGTAGTCTACTGGTAACATGTGTTAATAGACCAGAATATATACTGGTACAATTCAGCCGAAATACCTGAGCGAACTCTAATGATTAGCACTCTACTAGCCTACAATGAATTGCAGAAATTCAATCTGAAATTCTTGGAGCAAATCCAAAAAGCTATCCCAGGAGATAGAGAATGGCTTAGAAGAAAAAATCAGTTGCAGAAACTACGAGAAAATGGCAAATCTTTCCTGAAAGACTGAATCTTATCTGATCAGTTACTTTACTATAAGCAAAGACAATTTATATTAAAAAGCCAGGACCTCTGTACAATAATAGTGGATGGGTGCTACAACGCTAAAATAGGAGGGCACTTCAGTCAAGAAAAAACTCTTGAGATAATTATGAGGGATTTCTATTGGAAATGCCTAGCAGATTGGGTAAACGATTACCTACAGTCGTGTGATGATTGTCGACACAACAAATCCCCATGACACGCAAAATATAGTCTACTACAACTGCTGTCAATACCCTATGTAGTATGGGCATCAATTTTCACTGACTTTATTATGCAGTTACCCCAAAGTCAAGGTTTTATTCAAATTATGGTAGTAGTTAACTGGTTTACAAAAATGGAGCACTTCGTTGGATTAGAAGGAACAGCCACTTCAAAAAACAAAGCTATGGCCTTTAGAATAAAACTATGGAAACTACTCAACAGAAATTGTCTCAGATATGGACTTGAAGTATGCTGGAGAATTTTGGGAATTCTTGTGTAAAACATTAAGCATAAAAAGAAGGATATCTACTGTAACAGGGGCTTCCTCTAGGAAGATGGATCCCAAGGTTCTGACCGCACTGAAATGAATTCTTCCGCAAAGTGAACAAATATAATAAATGTCAAAATTCTCAACAGTAGAGTTTGAAGAAACAAAATGGTAAAACTTAATATCGTTAAGCTACAGCTTTTATTCAATTAAGTCCTAATCTTGAGAAGTAGTTGATTGCCAGTGTAGAGGAGAACTCGTATATACTTAAGTAGATTTCAGATACTGCCAGTTGCTCCCCACCACTACTTTGTATTCGCGAGCACCCAACTCCCTTGGACTGCCTAGCTAGCCTCCACGGGTCAGACCAAAGATCCCCCATAGCGAATTAGACTACTCTTGTAGTTTTCTAACATCCACCTGATAGAGGTATTTTAGCCACTACATCTACAATACAACTGTAGGAGTAAAAACTCTTC